GTTGTATCTAAAAATTAATTTACAAGAATAAATCAACACGCTAATTTTTACATCAATCAATTCATCTTAAACATGCCTACTTGTTTTCACTCGTCGTCGTGAAAATGCAGGAGAAAATGCAGAGAAAACACGATAAGTGCTACGTCTCGTTAGCGAAAGGAGTATCGGGCATCAAGCAATGGTTATCCTGTTGTTACAGGCCATTCGATACCAGTGGAGTCATTTGGCCGAATTCAACTGTGGGGTGATTTGATGCAAATTCGCCGCGTAGACGCTCAGGACGCAGGAAGGTACATTTGTCGAGCCAGCAATCAGGTCGGCGAGCAACGAGCGGAAACACACCTGTCGGTCACATCAAAACTTAATGCACGGATACAACCTCGTGTTCAGGTAGATTTCTGCACCTGATCACAGAAATATTTCGACACCACCGTGATTTTCGATGTTATGTTTCATACTTCGCGTAAATTTGAAAAAAAAAGTGTTACACTTATACTAGGTAAAAGAAAATGCAAAAATTATTTATTTATTTATTCTTAACAATTAGAAAGGGACAACGTAAATCAACGTGGTTGAGTCTGATGTCACAAAATCATTTTATATATGCATATCATTCAAAGTAATTTTAGATTCATTGAAATACTTTATACAATAAAAATTTTCTAACATTGGTTCGTAATGTAGATCAATGTGCTTCGCATCAAAGATTTATGAAATAGTTAAAAAAAGAACATTCGACGCGAAATTTCCTCGTACAATACAATGTCATCATTCCTGGAAAATATAATGTAATAAAGAAGCGCAGAGAGCCTCGCAACAGAAGAATTATAACAAACATAGTAGCATCATTACTTCCAAGTCGAATTTTCACATTCACAAAGGAACATTCTTTCCTAATGATTTTCAACATTATAATCTCTACATAATACAGATTGCATGATATCGATTAAAACTAAAATTATTGACGACTAAAGCTATTAAAATAAAATTGATAGAAGGAGAGAAAGAATAAGAGAAATTCACGGTACCATTATAAATGTGATAATATAATAAAATACATTGTTGGAAATTTATAAAACTTCGGAACGAAAAATCACGATCAAATTTCGACGATACTTTTTAGTAACAAATTTCACAAACTAAAAAAAAAAAAGAAGGAAAGAAGAAAAAAAGGGTAGAGGAAGAAGAAAAATTGCCACGAGCCGTGATACGGTTTGACGATCAATGAAGCGGATGGACAGTCGTTGCGTCAAAGGGGGATGATCGTTGCAGCTGCGTAAATCGCTGCACGGACATTAACTTTCGAGCACGAATCGTTAACCGTTTCCCGGTATTTACAGATCATCAATTCCGGCGAGTCGGCCACTATGAATTGCACGGTGGAGGGTTATCCGGTCGAGAGCGTCGAGTGGTTGCACGATGGTGTGCCGGTATTGACCGCGCAGGACACGAGAATCAGATTGCTGGCTCCTCTGGTGCTCGTGATAGGCTCGATCGGCCGAAAGGACAAGGGGATGTATCAGTGCCTGGTCAGAAGCGACAAGGAGAACGCACAAGCTACAGCCGAATTGAAGCTTGGAGGTATATTCGAATGAATCTGTTCAAAGGTTTCAGGACATTGATCATAAGCAAACTAAAGCGCATTCGATCATTCGTGTCTTCCTGAACATATTTGGAAAAAGTTTGTTCCAGTCCACTAAATTTATTATATTTTGATACTCGTTTGGTAACTGTTTTATTCAAGAAAACTGAATATCAGATTTTCCTGCAAAAAGATAAATCGTGAGTTGAAAAATTACTATAACTCGGACGTCATCTCGCTAAGTCGTTTTTATTCTTATCCAAAAACTAATTGTATATTATAAACTTTTTACTCATATAATTTTCATCATTGTAAAATATCATCATAAACGATTAAAATCAGGAATAAAAGTATCAAGTGATTTGTTTGATATTTGGTAAAAAGACATTCCTAACAATAGAATATCACGAAAACAAATATTCCTCTGATAAAACCATAAAAATAACATGCTTTCTGTCATCTATCATCCGTTATCCATTATATCTATTGTTATTATCACTATTATTCCATGAAATTGATTACATAATCCTCGATTTACTCAGACACTGTGCCAGAGTTGCAATACACGTTCATTGAGCAAGCACTGCGACCAGGTCCTCCAGTATCGTTGAGATGCTCTGCTACAGGATCTCCACCACCATCGTTCACTTGGTTGCTAGATGGAGAACCTCTAAGTGAGATCGCCTCTGGACACAGGTGCATATCTAGATCTCTCACCGATCAATATTCAGTTTCTTAATCGAACACAATGCCTGATACAGGTACGCGATAGGACAGTATGTCGATCAATCCGGAGACGTGATCAGTCATTTGAACATATCGTCGGCTGGTGCTGAAGATGGTGGCCTCTACGCTTGTGTCGCGGCCAATACGCTCGCTACGGTCGAGCACAAAGCTAGACTCAACATTTATGGTAACTCGGATCCTTTGACTTATATAATGTAACGTAATAATTATTTGAATTCAGAATGCTTATTGTTTGAAGGCAAGTTGCATTTGTTTATAGTGAAGTTTAATCCTTGCTATAGCAGCCCTTAAGATTATGTGATATACATATATAAATATCTTTGTTAAGACGATTGCTTTTATTCAAATATAATGTCGCGTAATTTATATTGTTAATTTTATTTGAATATAATATTCGTATTACTTAATTATTCTTTCAGCAACATATAAATATTGAAATAGTTTTTAGTCGTCTTCATGCTACAGAACATACTAAATTTGTAGTAGCATTTTATTTTAACCCTTGAGTTTAATGAAACTTTAATAAAAATAATTTTTACAAAAGTTTCCTGCATAATTTAATTTATTTTATCTTGGCTTATTATTAAACAAAACATCCAAAATAATTTATTGCCATTAATCATGTGTCAGTTACTTAATAAATTATTATTTAAATTATAACATACTACAATACTTGTTAGAATACACTAAAAATTCTGCAGTAAATCAATAAAAATTAGAAAAGTAACGATGCCTAACATCCCAATGAATCTCAAAGAACATTAATCTCCCCTGTAATTAGTGCCAGTGAAATGATAGTTGGGCTAGTGGTTAAGCGATATGTATGTCGGAAGGGACTTCACGTCGATTAATAATTTCAGGTCCACCGTACATCCGATCGATAGGACCAGTTCGCGCGATAGCCGGTGTCGATACCACCATAGCTTGTCCTTATTCTGGCTATCCTATCACGTCAGTGGAGTGGTCTCATGGAGGAGTCGCGTTACCTCTCGACATAAGGCACCGTGTTGACAGTGAGGGTCATCTTACCATCGCCAATGTGGATCCAAACGATGCTGGCACTTTTACTTGCATGGTTAGAGCGAGATCCGGTGAAACGGCGAGCAGGGACATCCGGTTGACTGTCAGCAGTGAGTATTCTGGGGTGAAAATGTAATGGTACAATTCTTTATTCCTGTATTATTATAGAATACATGATTATTCCGTAGAAGAGAATTTAGAAAATATTGAGATACTTGCAGGAGATAGTGTACCTTTTTTTTATTTTTCTTTTCTTTTGGGGGGGGAGGGGAGAATCCATTACGGATACCAGAGAGCCCGTACTCTCTGGTTATGTGAGACTGGCTGTATGTGTAGTTCAGCCTACTCGCTAAAAATCCTCTATATCTCAACCGTGGAGATACACCTTCCCCCGGAATTGCTGTGGCATTACTTCAGGGAGAGACATTAATCAATTCATCACCGATATGTACACTTGCTCTTGCACTGTAAGAGTGCACAATAAAATGTGTTAAATTAGCATAATTTTATTTTAGAAGAAGATGGTGTATCTAATAAAAAGATTAAATCATCTGTGGTGTAGAATATGAAATACTTTAATAAATTTTTATTATTGACAAATTTGAAACGTGAAATGTTTCTTTTAGAATTGATTTAGTATGAATAAAAGTTTGAAACGTTAAAATAATTTAGACAACAATTTATTTATTTAAAATTACGTTAATTCAGGTTGGAAATCATTTCCAATCGTGTTCTATACTAATTTTTTAGCAATAAGTGTCTTGTAACTTCTACATGTATATCTTCATTAATTTACTTTAAATTTTAATCAATTTGATGACAAATAAGATATATCGCGGAGCATCAAGAAAATTATAAATTTATATATGAAAAACAAGTTACACAATATGATATATATAATTATATATATAATTTTTTATTTTTTTATTTTATTAATTTTTAATTTTTTATATAATTATATATGAAAAACAAGTTACACAATATATGCAATTAAATAATATAATATTATAAAAGATAAATATTTACATGATTTGTATATCTTTCGCGGTAGAATAATAAGAGCAGAAACCGTAAGTATATCTACTATATACATGTACTACACACATACAACCATTTTAACGAGAAACAAGTTTTTATTCTTGTTTCTTTACGGTCGAATTGCTTACCTCCGCGAAGAAGTCACGAGACTAGGCGAAAGAAGTAAATTGCAAGTCCGCTGGAATTTCTCTAACTTCTCAACTTTTTCTCATTTATCGTGACGTTTGGGAGGGAAAGCTAAAAGATACACACATGGACGGAAACTAATAACTACTGACCGCAATAATTATCCTTACTTTAGTATCCTTGCCGTTTTTACGTCTCTGAAATAAACTACACAAATGACCGTTTAGATAATGAAGCAAAAATTATATTACAAAATTGCTGCAATAATTCGTGTGATTTATATAATACGTTTATATATACGTTCTACTGTTTCACGACAGTTTGTAAAATAAACGACTCCAGAGATAATGAATTAAAAATTATACTGCGAAATTATTGTAATGATTAGTATTAACTTACGTATATTATTATATTCGAAATAATGATTTTTTGACAAAGAAGGCAATGAAATTTAAAGGAATGAGCAAGAGCAAAAAATTGTATTTGTTCCAGGTCCACCCGTGATGAGTCCCTTTAATTTCCCTCCGAATCTCCAAGAAGGAAGTCGCGCCCAAGTCACCTGCACCGTCACTTCCGGTGATCTACCAATCTACTTTTCCTGGCTAAAGGATGGTGAACCATTACCTTCCTCTTTACGTGTATGTCTTTATCTTTTATAAAAAATTTCCTCATTTGGAGCTTCATTTTTAAAACTCCTATTTGTTACATTTAACTGTTGAATACACCTTTTGTATTTGTTGATAGCATAAATATAATAGGCATACAGAAACATAATTATTTTTTTTAAAGAATATTCTGTGTACTTGTTACTATAGTCGAGTAACTTATATAATTGATATAATACACATAACATCACAAATACAAATATATAACATTTCCGCTCAAAAGTTTCAGTAAAAACAGTTAAAGTGAAAAAAAAGATTGGACAAACTTCGTCGCGATAGTTCGTTTAATTTCAACAGAGAAAGTATAGTACAGTGCATAATTAAAGTAATAATATACCACAAGTTTTATCAAAGAAATTATACAATTTAAAATTCGCAATATATATTAAACATGAGAAACGTCTTAAGATTTTTGAGCATGAATGTATCAGCTATCAGTTTCATAACAGTTGCAAGAACAAGCAATTGAATAAACGATCTTTCACAAACGTGTTTGTGTTTCAGATCGAGGAACGGGTGGCCGAATTTTTCAGTCTGCTCGTCTTCAAAGAACTTTCGTCGCGGCACAGTGGCAAATACACTTGCGTGGCAACTAACAGCGCGGCCAAAGTCAACCACACGGCCGAACTTTTGGTAAAAGTGCCTCCGCAATGGATTTTCGAGCCGCAAGATGTGACCACTCTCCTGGGAAATCCATTGAACGTTCACTGCGAAGCCAAGGGATTTCCACCACCACGTGTCACGTGGTTACGTGCCAGAGAAAGAACCTCCAACGACTATCAACCTCTGGTTGATGGTTCTGATGGAAGATTAACCATCCTACCAAATGGATCTCTATGGACAGCCTTTGCTGGACCACAGGACGAAGGGCATTATCTGTGTCGGGCGAATAATGGCATTGGATCTGGATTGAGCAAAGTGATCTACGTGTCTGTTCATGGTAAATTCTGCTTTAATTTATATCAATAAGAATTTTACGATTATGATTTTTTATAATTTAATCTTAAAATTTCGTATGGTTAAAGACCTTGTTTAATATGTGTTTTGAATTGTGCGGCTCGTTATTTTATATTTTATATATCGTATGTATTGTAGTTTACATATTTTATTATCTTTTATGTTATTTTATATTATTTTCAACGATCATCCACAAAAATTCTATTCTTTTTTTCTATTCTCTTTTCACTTTTTTTTTAAGAACAAACGTCGATATATAGTTCCAAGAATGTTATCAAGTTTACTGGAATTCTGCCATGTAGGAAAACTCATGAAAAAAATTTTTATTATACTTTTATAGAGCCAGCACGGTTCGAGTTCCAGAGCAAAAACGTGACAATCCGCCGTGGCGAATCCGTCACGCTGGATTGCACTGTTATCGGGGATAATCCCATAGAGGTGCAATGGATGCACAACAGTGACCGTTTAGACACGAACAGTCACCGATTGAGCATCAGTCAAATAAAAACAGACAATGGCCTCAAGTCACAATTGTCCATAGCAAGTAGCGATCGTCAGGATTCTGGAGTTTATAGGTGTACGGCAGACAACGCTTACGGAAGAAGCGAACATTTGATTTATCTCGCTGTTCAAGGTAATATTTTCTTCCTTTTGTTTCATTCATATTTCCCCTTTTATTTGTACAGTCTATAGTAATCCATTGCAAATTTTAGCAATGCACTAATATAGATTTTATATTAAATTGGTTCTTTCTTCTTTCCTTTTCTACAATAATTCTTTTTAATTTAAATTTAAATTTCCTACTGGTATCTATTAGTGCTACTTGGTTTAATTTTTGTTTTCGTTACAAAATTGAAATATGAAAATGAATAAATTGAAGGCGTGACAAAAGAGAGGATCTTTTTTTAATAGATGTTTGTCATTCTAAATTAATCTATTCTGCGAATCTATTCTAATAATTAATTAATTTACTGATTATATGGCGAGTATAGAGAGACCAGATCCACCAGCCTCATTAGAAGTTATAGAAATTGGCTCACGATCGATACGATTATTATGGAAAAGAGCTTTCGACGGAAATAGCCCAATACGAAATTATGTTATCCAATATCGATCTTTGAATCATGGTTTGGCTGACGATTGGAATCCCGCAAAAACGCACAACGTCACCTATACCCCCGGAAGTTCTATCAATGGAAATACCATACATCCAACGCAAAACGGTAATTATATTTTATGTAAAGCTACTGTAACTATAGTTATCGTTATTTTGCAGAACCTTTCTCGGTTTCATCTTCTTAATATCGAACTTAATTCCTTAAGTAATGTAAATAATGTAAGTTATATGAATATACATGAATTTGCAAGAGTCTCATTTTTTGTTCAGTATAATCTTTGTAATCAATCTTTGTAATCTTTCAATTGTAATCTTTGTTTTTATGTTTAAATAAAGTGGAATATTAAAATAGATTCTTTAACTTTCTATAATGTAATATTTTGATTTCTGGATAATATTAATTGTAATTCAATATATTATAAATTATAATTTCTATGTGCACAGGTTTATCCCCTTTCGAAACTAGCACTGACGATCAAGAAATAGCATTAGTAGGAGGACTTCATCCAGCAGTGACTTATATGTTTCGCATTTTTGCCATAAATTCAATAGACGTGAGTGTGCCAACTGATTCCGTGGTGGCGAAAACTCAAGAAGAAGGTAAATAATAAAAATACGCTTCTTCCTAAGATAATGCTTTAACATAAAATAATAATATGCTCCTTATAACAATAAAATATTTTATTTATTTTCATTATATATTTTATTCTTTCGTGATTTTAATATTTCTTACTCGTAACAGCACCCACTGAACCACCCCAAAGTATCAAAGTACAGTCAGCAGGTCCTGGGGAACTTATGGTTAGCTGGCAGGTAAATATTATTGAAATTCAGCAATAAAAATTTAGAAATATTATAATCGTAGACATTTCAATATTCGATGTAATTTCAATGAATCAGTGAAAGAATTTCATTGCATTTCACAGCCACCCCCAAAGGAATCTTGCAACGGAGATCTGTTGGGCTACATAGTGACATGGTCGGAGCATTCATCTTCAACGTCAGGTGTGAACCAAAGCAAAAGTTTAACGGTGAACGGATGGGCAACTACAAAGGTGCAGCTTACAGGTCTCAGAAAGTTTACCAAGTACGATATATCGATCAGAGCTTTCAATAGTATAGCCAGCGGGCCAGCCAGCGTTCCCATTGTTGGAACAACTCAAGAAGGAGGTGCGATAAACATAAACTTTTTGCAAGAACATCTCCTTTTTATCGATACCATTATTTTACCATTTAATGAAACTCTCGCTGATTTATTGTATTGTGATTATTTTAGTGCCAGAAACCCCACCAACGCAAGTATCATGCATTCCTCTGTCTTCCCAAAGTGTGAAAGTTTCTTGGAGTGCACTACCACCACATCAACACGGTGGGATCATTCAGGGTTACAAAGTATACTACAGACCAGTACCTACTGACAACAGTAAGTAAAATGATATGCCCTTTCTATAAATATTGTTAAACATTATTCACAATATTCTTTCTTTGTTTGATAAACTTTTGGAACTTGAGATTTTCTTTTTTATCAAGCTTTTCAAATCTTGCTATTTTCTTTCACAATAAATAATAATTATGTATATTTTTCATGTATTATACAAAAATTGGCACTCCATTATAAATAAAATTATAATACCTTTCAAATAGAATTGTTAAGATTACAATTTGCACAAAGTTAAACATTATATGATATAGATATCTGGTTCCATTTTCATTAAAAGACATGTCCGCAATGAAAATTTTTTTAGTGGACATATCGACAGTGGGTGAAGTAAAAAAGACTTCCAGCATAGAAACTTATCTGCACACTCTGTACAAGTACACGAATTACTCTATTCGAGTATTGGCTTATACTGGTGCTGGCGACGGAGTTCTAAGTCCGCCGATTTTTTGTACAACGGAGGAGGATGGTAAGAATTAATTTTTATTGATCCGATATATATTAATACTGTTATACATGAATATTATTGCAGTGTCAATATTTTAACTTAATATCTGATTTAATCATTATTAATTAATATTCAATTCAACAAGCACAAATATTAATGGAACTATTAACACTGAATAGTATTAGGAAAAAATTAATTTGTTTTATCGCCCATTTCAGTACCAGGTCCTCCAGCTGGTATCAAAGCTTTAGCATTGACTGCGGAGAGTATATTGGTTTCGTGGTTACCACCTCTGCAGCCAAATGGGAATGTCTCCAAGTATACAGTTTACAGCAGAGAAGCAGGCTCTAGTAACCATAACACACACACCATGCATGAACCACCATCGTCACCGACTGATACTCTTACCATGGAATTGAGAGGTTTGGTTGAAAGGTAGCCGACATTTTATAAGATTAGAGAAGTGATTAAATCTTAAAGCAAATGATCACTTGAAATTAAATTGCGTGCCAGTCAACTGTACGAGTTCTGGGTGTCAGCGACGACAGGGCTAGGTGAAGGTGAATCGACCACGATAGTAACTCAAACTACAAACACTAAAGGTTTGAAGATTCATAAAGTAATTTCTCTTTGAACTACTTGAAAATAATTAGATATTATAAAGTTACTTTTACAAAATTATCTCAAAATACTTAAATTTTATACAGTTTATTAATTAAGTTTAATAAAATCGTTCCCACAGCTCCAGCTAGGGTGGCGTCTTTTTCACAATTGTTAAGGAGGGCGATTAAATCGTCGATCACCCTGTCTTGCTTAGTCGTAGGTAATCCTACGCCTCGTCCAATATGGACGTATCGAAATAGTCAAGTTTCCACTGGTAGGCATTACGAATTGACTGCTGATGGTCATCTTAATATTCGTGGTTAGTTTCACAATGTTATTTCAAGAATAGGAAAGATCGTTTTAAAACCCGTAAGTAAAAATGTTGATGAAAATAAAAATTTTAGGATTAGAACAGTCGGTGGCAGGAAATTACACGTGTTCAGCCAATAACTTATTCGGTGACGATTCCATCACTTACACCTTGGTCGTGGTAATGCCTCCACGAGCACCAACGTTAGAGTTACAGTATACAACGATGAATAGTATAAGACTTAGGTGGAATCATCCTAATAACGGTGGTGCTACTATTCAAGGTAGAGTAATATTGCTCCTAATATTAGTTATAATTGATATTAACAATAATATTCATAATAATTGTTAAATATCTTTCTTATTAGGCTACGTGTTAAGTTACAAAAGGGACCAAGGTGGCTGGGAGGAAATAGCATTATCACCTGAACAGACTGAGTTCATTTTATCAGGTTTAAAATGCGGTTCTTCCTACTTGGCACATTTAACAGCTCATAACCGCGTAGGCACTGGAGATCCGAGTCCTCTAATTAGTGCCACCACCAAAGGAACTGGTAAATTTTTAACACAAGCTCTGCTTTTTATAATCTTCTATGATTCGTATATTGTTCATTTATATTGTATTATATAATATAACCTTTTCCAATTCTTCTCACAGCTCCTTTATTACCAAAAGAACGAGACATCATCTCTGCCAACGGCACGTCCGTGAAATTAAATCTTTTATCTTGGCCAAATGGTGGCTGTCCCATTCAATATTACACCCTAGAGTACCGTAGACGCGTCAGCACTGAACCATGGATTTTAGTGGCGAGTCGCGCCACAGAGAATTTAGTCATAAGAGATTTAAAGACTGCCTCGTGGTACAGCTTACGTCTGACAGCTCATAATGACGCTGGATCCACGCAAACACAAATGGAATTTGCGACGACCACTCTCAGTGGTGTTAGTATCGGTCCACCAAATGATCTGATTATGGAAGACGATGTTAAGAAAGCTATACCTAATCATAAAGTACTTTACGTGGTCGTACCTCTCATCTGTGCGATCGTATTAATTATTTCCGCCGCTATTTTGGGATATGTAATGCTAAAACGCAGTGGAAGGTATGTCTACGATTTTACTAAAAATTATAATTTTAATTATATACATATTAAGTTTAAATTATATGTATAAGTTTTGCAAATTATCGTTACATTAATATCAATTTATTTATTTTTATAACACACTAGTATTGATAATAATATATAACGTTAATGTATAACATTCATTATTTGTTTGACAAATACTTTTATAATTAAGGAAGATAATATTTAATATTACTTGCGATTTTTAGAGCTAATTATTTGGGAGAAATTCTTCCTGGACAGCAACAGAATCAGCAGTCAGGATTGGGTTTGGTTCAGCAACAACAGCAACATCAGCAACACCATCATCTTTCAAGTTGTATGTCTACCATGCAACTAAAATCCACTGCAGAACGTGATAACAGAAGGAATCATCAGGTATACACCAGTTCGCCTGTGAAACAAGAAAATCACAAGTCAAACGATCATGGATCAGGTTTGTTTTTATCTCAGATTAAAGAAATGAATTTGATAAAAAAAAAAAAAAAAAAAAAAAAGAAAGAAAAAGGAATCAATGACCTTTATTTAGAGATATTTATGACGTTCGTGTGGTATTTTATATTTTACTCGTGTTTCTCTCACAGAAATGTACGAAATAAGTCCGTACGCGACGTTTAGTGTACCGGGAAGAGAAAATCGTTCGGTAACCACAGCTACACTCGATTATACAATGCAGTTCAAAACATTCGGTCATTTAGAGAACGAAGACATTAACACGATCGATTACGAAAGGTCCAGCGTAGACTTCGAGAGGTAACTGTTTTCTTTCAACCCATTTGTATGACTTACTAAACGCATGCTAGACGGACTAAATGTTCCTTGCTCGACTTCCTTGCTCAAGAAAGCTTGACATCCTGCTCCCAAACCCTTTTCTCTTCCTCTTTCTGGTGTTCTTTCACGTTCAGGTCTAAAACACCAAGGTGGCACAAGCAACGTTACTTCCCAAGCATCGCGGAAGCGGAGAGCAAGCTACGCTCGAGCCGTCAAGGTTCCGGAAGCGACACATCCGGAAGTCCTTGCGGAGAATGCGCTGGACCTAGTTACAGGGTGCCAGTAAAGCCTTGCAGAGGTGAATTTTTGAATATTGTTTCTAATTTCTATTAAGGATCTCGTTTTTTTTTTTTTTTTTTAAATTTTCTCATCGAGGAAATGAAACTACTTTTTCTTAAAAAAATTTCTATTAAAAGTTTAACTTAATTTTTTTAACAAGATGTTCGATGCTCCAAAGATATACTTGATATTCAATTGAATACTCTCTGCTTTGTAGATGTATTTTCACGAGGCGTGGAATCGAGTACAGAATCCAACAACGAAGGCTCACCTTCACTTGCGAGACGACGAAGCCGTCAACCGAGCCGGTCTACTCGCAGGTAGCCAAGGTTTGTTTGTTTCCACATAGCACTCAGTCCTGATTATGTTCAATATTCATATCACGGTCTCATCGGTCTCATGTCGATGCGAGATAAATAATAGAGAAATGTAAAGTCTGTCAGAACAATTATAATTACAATTTAAAATTTATCAAAAGTTACAATTACAACTGATCAAAAGACGATATTTTCCAATATGTACAATATACGGATCCGTTTTGACTACATTTTTCTATTACTCGAAAATGTATTTTATATTCATATATTTTTTTTCATAACTTCATGAAGTTCCTTGACAATTCACATATCATCATAATCTCTCATCTCTCTGTATTTAAATAACATTAAACAGAAGGTTCCTTCGAACTTTTTCAAATTAATCTGGATCAACCGGAGGAGTCGATGAATATTTACTACTTCAATTGTTGCTCGAACTGAAACCCTAGAACACGATCCAGAATAATTTATCAAGCTCAAATCATATATAGATCAATCACTCAATGAATATGAACGAGAAGAATATTTTACGAATAAACTCAATGAATAATCTCTAATTTCCCTGATGAGATGTTTATAATCCATTGTTGTGCAGTTCGGTGGAAGACATGACGTTGTTGCCGCCAAGCGGGTTTAGCGACAGCCGCGAATTGAGCGACGTAGAGTGCGACCGTGATCGTGATCGTGATCGTGATCGTAGCGAGCGTGATCGTGATCGTGAACGGGACTGGCAAGATTTGTCGACCGGGACCCGCCACGGCGGCAGCTTGGGTAGACTGCCAATCGAGGCCGTCGAATCTATGCTCGCTAGGTATCGACACGAACCTCCGTAGACCGTAGTAAGCTGACACAGTTCAGATTCCCATTCTCTACTCTCACGTTGATCCCACGAACGCCTCTGAAACTTTTCTTTCATTTTCTATTCTGTCCAATAAGTTTCATTAGGGGATGTGCAATGGTAAAAGGTATTGTTATTTAAAAACTGCGGATTTTTGTGCAAAGTCATATTTTTTAAAAAATAAAGCCTCGGCGGAAAACATTTGTTTACTTGATTGATGTTGTAGCACTGAACTCTGAACATTTTGTCATATTTTTTTTTCTCGTTAATTAATCAAATCCAAGTAGTTTAAATTTCATCGCCAATGGAAATTTTCGTGCATCTTTCTACATCCAAACTAGTACTACTAGTATTATTTACTAGTAAACTAATACTATTTAATTGTAAATAAATTAGAAAGATCCAAACTAGAGGTAAAAAAATCCGATTGAATAGATGTCCTCTAAGATTTAAAGAAAGCTACATCAAACAGCATCGATTAAACTCAAATTTTCACGTCACGTACTAATCTAAATAAAAAAAAAAAACTCCAATTACCTACACAAAGCTTTTTTAGCATTGCCAAGTTAGATCAGTATTTCTTGATTTATTTTAAAATTAATTTTAAAGGTAAAAGGTATTGTTATTTAAAAACTGCGGATTTTTATGCAAAGTCGTATTTTTTAAAAAATAAACCATTTAAAAATTAAATCATATTTTTTAAAAAATAAATCCAAGTAGTTTAAATTTCATCGCCAATGGAAATTTTCGTACATCTTTGTACATG